TTTTCTAGTAGCCACATTAAAATAAGTAAAAAGAAATGTGAAATTAATTTTAATAATATATGTATACCAAACATTATCATTTCGACATGTAATCAATAAAACAAAAGTAATAATGAGGTATTTAACATTTTTTTTTCCAGAACTGAGTGTTTGAAGTCCAGATGTACTTTTAGCACATCTCAGTTCAGATTAACCACATTTCATGTACCAAGAGATACATGTGGTTAGTGGCTACCCTGTTGGACAATGGAGGTCTAAGCTTTTGAAGGTTAACAAAAAATTGAGATGAAGGAGTTTTGAAAGGCAAGGCCATGACCATGCACCAGTTAGAGAGCTACCTGGGTTGTTTTCTTTGGGATCCTGGGTGGTGGCTGATGATTCTGTGCTATTTTTTGGTCAGTAGTTAATACAACAATATGTCGGGTCCCAGTGACTGTTCTAGGCACAGACACAGAGAAGAAAACCCAGCTCTCTGTGCAAGTCTGGCAGGGAAGAGAGTGAGGGGAATTGTGATTGAGGGAAGTTCAAGGGGCTGGGGCGGCTGGGCGAAGGGGATCTGATCCAGATTAGGTGGGATGCGGGGAGCAGGGAGTGGTACTTAGGGGAGAAGATGCCTGAGCTGAGTCTTAAAGGATGAGTAGGAGTTAGTTCAGAAGGGAAGAAGAGATAGGGAGGCCATTCTGGACAGAGAGAAAACATCAGTCAAGGTATTAAATTAGGAAAGAGCCTGCTCTGTGTGTGTGTCACCACAAAACAGTTTGGGGTTGCCAGAGCACAAAGTGCAAAATTTAAGCGAGGCGTGAGAAGTTGGAGAAGCTGCAAGGGGCCAGTGGGTGGTGGGGGAGCTAATCTCGGTATTTAGCTGCTCGGGTGGCATGCCACCAAAGGCTCTCAAATGATCACTTTTCATTTTAGAGCTGTCTCTGGCCGTATTTGGAGAGTGGATTGCAGGACGGAGAGAGTGGATTGCAGGGAGGGAGAGAATGGAGGCAGGGAGGCCAGTAGCCTAGGTGAGAGCCAAGAAGGGCTGATTTAGAGCAGTGGTCACAGCAAGTAGGAATGAGGGGGAGGGGCTTATTCAAGAAATAAAATTAGGAATAATTAGGAATAATTATAAGTTAGAAATAAAGTTGGGAAAATTGGATGATTAGGTGTAGGGTTTCAGAGAAGGAGAGATCAAGGATGACTTCTAGGTGTCTGGCTCATGTGATTAGGGATGGGGTGGCACCACCGACTCAGTTCAAAACGTAGCAAATGGAGTGTGATGGCGAGCTGGGGCGGTGGTGGAGGTGATGAGTCTGTTTAGACAGTATAACTTGGGAGCCCGGGGACTATCCAGGTGAAATGTCCAGGAGGTAGAGGGATGTGCATGTCTAAAGCTTGGAGAGAGCTCAGGCCTGAAGAAGTTGATCTTGGAATCATTCGTATACAGGTGTGAGTTAAAATTCAGAGAGTTAACCTCCTTATCCAGGGAGAGTATAGAATGGGAGAGAAGAAGGCTGAAGATGGGATTGCAGGGGACATCAGCATTTCAGGAATAGGGAGAGAAATGCACAAAGGAGACAGAGGAATGGTTGCAGAAGTAAGAAACTAACCAGGCAACTGGTGTTGAAGAAGCTAAAGGAGTGCAAGAATTTGAGTAATCAGCAGTGTCAGATGCCACAGAGATGTGGCCCATAATATAGTAGTTTTAATTTATATCATGTGTTGGGAGTTCATGGCCCAGCTGAAGAGGAGACCTTCAATATGTCATGACACCAGTGGTGGAGCAGTTGTAGGTGCTGGCAAAGTCCAGGGTGTGGCCGTGGTAGTTCATGGCTGACTCTGAGGTATAGGAGAATGTCACTAGTAGATGAGGAATTATGGGACTAGCCAGGCTAGGTTGTTGGGTGGGTCACTTATATGGAAAATAATAATAGCAACACTTAGTATGAGCCAGGCACTATTTTAGTACCAATACATTTTACCTCATTTGACCCTAACAACACTGTAGCTCGTTGAGTGGTGGTATCCTCATTTTACAGTTGAAAGAACTGAATCTCAAAGAGGTTAAAGTATCTCAGTCATCCACTGTAAACGACCAAACCGGAAATCCCACTCAGGTCTTTTCTGACTACAAAGCCCTTGCTTATAAGCACTACATAATTGAGCCAGAAAAGCATTTGGGCTTTGCAGAGAGCCCAGTCGCATACTTGGCGACTATTTCTTATTTTTCTCCAGGTTGAAGAACTTAACTCTGAAATCAAAGTGCTCAGTGCTGCCTTTGCTAAAGCCAGAGAGGCCCCACAGATAGCACAGACCCAGAAATTCCAGGTGAGTGTTCACTTTGGTGTAAATGGCTGTCTCTTTGATCCTTACTCCTGGTGAGGTTAGGACATTGCAGCTGAAAGGAACTTGGATGACTTTAATAAGGAAAACTGTGGGTGGTCTTTAGTGATAGAATTAGCCCAATCTAATTAAAGGGAAATTCTCCACCAGCTTTGGGAATTTCTCCAGCCCCTTCCTCAATGTAATGATGATGATGACAACTATCCCCACAGTTAGGATTGCC